CATGGCTCAGAGGTGCTTTCCAAGATTAGTATTTAATTCAGTCAGACTTTTACAAAAGTAGATCCTTTTTCTGTCCATCTAAACAATCTTTGGCTAAGCTTCAGGATTGTCTCCCTCATGAAGACAAGAATTTTATCTGCTTGTTCACTGCTGAATCCCAGCTCCTGAAAAAGAACCTGGAGCATGGTAAGCTCTTGATAAATATTTACAAGTTAATGAGTAACTTTTCTAAAGTAATAAATAGAAAAAACATTAAATGGAAAATTATAAAACCCTTTTCTGTAAGAGGTCTTTTGGGGAATACTGGGTAAGAGGCTCTACTGTACTATAAATGAAATGAGAGACACAGCACAAAAGCCTCTGCTGCCTGGCACGGCATCATGTCTTACCCACCCCCGAGAAGCACAGTCTTCAAACAGTCTACAAGCAACCTCCGCGGGAATTCAGGATCTAGTTGTCATAAGAATTCTCAAAATAAATAAAATTTTTAATTATAGTATATTACCTCTGCTGAAGAGAAAAACACTGATAACATAAGCAAGTCTTCTGTCTTGGACCCTTATCCTAAGCTCTGGACACACCATCTTAGCATTTGTACATCTGGAGATATACTCAGAAGTGTTTTTTTAACACTTATCTGGTTCACCATGAATGCAGCAAAATGGTGATAGGATTAACAAGGATTCAAAATACCTAAGATTCTAGCAACAACATTCTGAGGGCAATTGCATGTGTCCTGCCTAATCAGCTTGGCACAAAATTAGAGGTCAAAGGTTTCCTGGAGACCGAGGGCTCCTGTCTGGACTACTGATATGGACACTATCCAAATCCGCCTTAATTATTCTGTCATTTTTCAGGTGACAGTTAAGTAAACAGACTTTCAAAGCTTTAAGCCATTCTTCTGAGGTTCTAAAATTTGTTGCAGGGTTTTTTATATGGAAAAACTGTTTGTTTCATATAGTGCTGGTGATGCCTAACATAGTACCGCCACCACATTCTATCTGAATCTCCACAAGATACACATCCACCCAGGAGGGGTCAGTGGTCACCAGGAGGGGTCAGTGGCAGGCACACTCTTCCTTCCAGCAGCAGGTTGCCCTGGCCAGGCACTTAACATCATCACATGGTAGGTGCTCTACATCATGAGAACAAACACTCCGGGTTGAAGAACACTTAAAATAATATCTTGGTGGGTCCTCCCTGGTAGTGCAAGCGGTTGAGCACAGCGCTGCGAAGCTGTCCACAGCCTCTGCAGTGCCGGTTCGATCCCTGCTGGCCGCAGAGCAACCCACATGGTGCAGCAGACCTCTCCTGTCTCTCCCGCTGCTCCCCATTAGCAGTGTATTTCATCAGTCTGCCTGTTCTGTTCCCCACTCTGTCTCTGGTGAATCCTCTCACCCTCCCGCGTCTCTGGCCTGTACCCCAGCTCTTGTATAAAAATAAATAAATCTTTAAAAATAAAATGAAATAATATCTTGGCTTACTTTTTTATAAAAATGGGGGGGGAACTCATTATACTGTATTAAGTTTTGAATAAACTACAAGTATGCTACCAAGAATAGCTTGATTTCATTGAAATGTCAGAGACGAGATGAGACGAGATGAGATGAGAAGTAAAATGTAATGAATAATTAGTTTAAACCTCTCTTGTTCTACGTTCATGAGCTCTCAAGAGATGTGATGTAATGGGGCAGGGAGAGAGCTCCAGAGATGTGCAGCATAAAGTGCCTGATCTACAGAAGCTTCTATTTCGCTAAAAAGGATGACAATAAAACACAATTAAGAGTAGCTTTCCCAAGTGAATGGTTGCGTAATTCAGAGGCAGGAGAAATCTGTGGTGGGTTATGCTGGAGCTGGTCAAAACTTTAAGAGAGATCCCAAGAGCCAGCAGAATTTTAACAATGAGAATGAGAATGGGGTACAGGGAAGAGAGGAAAAGATATGCACTGCTGTGACTCAAAAAGGTTCCATGAAGGAGCACAGCGGTATCTGGGACTGGAGAGGAGGCTGCGGCTAGACCATGGGGAGCTTTGATGTTAGACCAGGAACCTGGAGTTCACTCAAATGAGAACAGGGAATCTATGAAGGTTTCTGGGAAGGGAAGTCACAGACTCTGATTTTACAAAGATACATCTGACGGTGATGGACTGTATCTCGTGCTGCAAGGTCAAAAGTCAATCATTGGGGCCTCCCCGGTGGCGCAGCGGTTGAGCGCTGGGTTGCGAAGCTGCCCGCGGCCTCTGCGGCGCCGGTTCGATCCCCAGCTGCTCTCCGGCCACCAGAGGAGGGTCCCACATGGCGCGCAGACCCCTCCTGCCGCCCGCTGCTCCCCTCAGCAGTGTACTTTGGTCCTTCTGCCTGCTCTGCTCCCCACTCTGGCTCTGGTGAATTCTCTCACCCTCCCGCGCTTCTGACTGTACCCAGTGCTTGTATAAACAAAAACAAACAAACAAACAAATAAATAAATAAAACATGCCTCTATTTAAAAAAAAAAAAGTCAATCATTGAACAGTGGATTTGGCAACTAAAATATCAGGTGTATTGCTATGACACTATTCTGAGTGGAGGAAAATTAAATAATTCAATGATTTTTTCCTCATGTTTCCCTCATCATTCTTTCCTAGCTACGAGGTCTGACAACTCCGGATGGTTTTCTACAAATGCAGGGACTGAGCTGTCTGAAATGTACGAAGTCCTCCCTGGACTCGTAAAAAATTCCTTATGTTCAAACAATTAAAAACACATTGGAAAAACATGCCTTACACAATCAAAAAGGCTAAGGACGTATACAGTCTTTGCTGCCCAGTGGGGCCCTCATTTCTCTGGGCATGTCACCCAATGATACAAGAGGCAGGAGGTCATAGGAGGAAGGAGCAGGGAGTCTGGCCAAGGAGTGCCCCGTTTGAGGGACCAATTTCTAAAAGACATCATCAGACTATTTCTGAAAAGGAATATAGGTAAGAAACCACTATGTTTTCATTTTACTCATTTATATATTGCCACTATCTAAAAATGACACTTAACAAGGAATGTAAATATTTTTCATTTATCTGAAATTTAAAGAGAGACAAATTCCGACATTCTAAGGGAAATACCTGGATGTTTTTGCAGACTAACAGTAAACAACATGTCTCTTTAAATTCCAGATGTAATATGGAATAAAAAGTAATAGGCACAATTTTCAAAGTAATCATCTGCACAGCTGCGTACGTTCTTGTGTTTTCAAATTAGAATCATATTCTTGAAATGTCTATGGCGAGAGTGCATCAAATACCTAAATTCATCCCATTATATCACAAAAAGCCCTATTGGAGATCAGGCTGATTTTAGTATGGAAGTTAACTAACACTGACCCTGCCATCAAAGATGGACATTCATGAACAACAATACAGGAAAATGCATATATTATTACAATAAATATAATTATCATAGTTAACAAAACAGCTCTCCTCCGATACTACAGGGTTGCAGCAGAGTCCATGCTAAGCACTTTACATAGACCAGATAATTATATTTCTAAATACTAGCTAGTTACTCCTTGTAAAAATCCCATGCATTAATAATTATTTTTCTGTTAAACAGAGTAAAATACTTAATTTCTAAGTTGAGGGTTTCTCTAAGCAATAAGCTCAAGATTACACAGATTATAAGTAGCAGAGCTGTGACCTGAACCCAAGTCCCAGTGAATATACTTTCAACACTTAACTATATCTCAGTGCTAAGAGTATTATAGCTATAGCCTGATGACTATAATCAATGAGAGAGTAAATCTTAAAATTTCTTATCACAACACAATATATACATATATCAAATCATCATGTTGTACACCTGAAATCATATAATGCTATATGCCAATTATATCTCAGTGAAAAAATTTTTAAAAATATGTGGTAAGAAAAAGTTGACATGGCAGGTGAAGCTGACATAAAGCAAATAACCCCACAAAGAAAAGTTAAACTGTAACTATGACAAGAGCAATGAGGAGGGGGGTGTGATATGAACCCTACAAATTCAGACTCATTGGGTAAAACTGTACCTTGCACTCCACATACAATATCTTACAGATACTACAAATTTTAGATTTTGCTTTTGTTGTTAAGGCAAATGAAAACAAGATCACTTGCAAAATCTACTGGTAAGAGAAAAATAGAATAATCCAAATCCAACTGACTGATATAATATATAGTACTTAGATTTTAATAAGCATTTTTACAAATTACTTAATCTTTGATTCCCAAGTCCATATACATGTTCTGCATTATAAAAAATTAAGAATATAAGTTCTTTAACTATTCGATTTTATTTTCTATCACATTCGCTAAAGCCAGCCTTCAATGATACAGGGAAAATGCTTTTCTGCTAGAACACAAATAACTCTGCAGGTTCTTTTGCTTTGGTTCAGCGTTTTATAAACCTTGGCACTGGTAATTAATGTAGATTATTTTTACAGGAACTATTTACACTAGCAAATGACCTTCTTCAGAAAAGGCAAATAAGTGACTGACTCCAGGGAAGGTGAAAGCATTAGCCTATTGAACACATCTGGTGAACAATGACTATGAAGATGATAAATAAGGTATTATTTACTCTTTCTACTCAAACACCATAACACAAGGCAACACTGGGGATCCAGCCTGACCCGACAAAACTATGAAAATGCTGCTCGGGCTCTTTATAATAATAAACAATGAGCATTCCTGTTTTATTTGCAAAAATAATTAGCAACAGCTGCTACTTACACAGACTTTTTAACAGAAGATACTTTACATTATGAAACCAAGTACTACAGAAATTAAAAAACCTGACGCCACATGAAGTATTCTGCTTTTTTGTTTCTTGATTTAAAATCAGGCATAACAATTAGCTTCTGTATTCCTTTATCTTATTTTTTTTTAAATTACAAAAACATTTTTATGAGACTCAAGGAAACAGCTGGACACATCTGTCAGCTATGTATCCCTAGAGTGAAAGAGAAATTAATGCTTTAATACCATACTTACATGTGAGGGCTCAATTCATAAAAATTTCTATTCCTGTAATCTTCCACTTTTTCTGGTGAATAAATAGGCAATGACCTGTATGGGTTAACGGATATAACCACACTTCCAATGTATGTCTGCAAAAGAGAGAATAACATATACACATTAGTATACGGGATGCATCTTAATGTCTAAAATCTTAGTGTCATATGGCTTTACCCTTTTCAAAATACCAGTTTTACTCCTTGACCATTCATTTTACACTTTTCAAGAACATTTCACATTTCTGAAAACAAATGGGATTGATAATACATTATTTGTTTTGCTGAGAAATGGAAAACATATATTTATACATTGAACATATCTTTCCAAATAAATCTCTAGATTAATTTATGATCCTAGATTAGTTCTCCAAAGCCCTGTCACACTTGCCAAAAATTTCTACCACTGCTAATTGTGAACAAGAGCCATGCTTGCCCTGATTCTACTTCTATTACAGACACTTCTCCGTGAAAGGGGGAGGAACACTGAATGGGTGCCATTTTCCCTGTACCCACTGACATTTTGAACTACAACTCCCAGTACACCATGACCCAGGTTTCCTGAATAGGGGGCAGCTGGGAAAGAATGAGGCAGATAAATAGAAATGGAGACTCAAGATAGACAATTGGAGGAGGGGACACCAGAGAACTTGGGGTGCTGAGTGATGTGCGCATGTGCTCTTCAACGAAGAAACACATAGGCAACTACCCCTTACGTGACGGGGTACTTACGAGCTATAAGGAGAAGAGAGATGTAGAGACACGCATAAAGAGCCTGCTCCTGGACCTTGGCAGGGACATTAGCAGCCATTATCTTGATCTCATATTGGATTATGTGGTATATTTTGAATTTTGAGTCTCTTCTTTTGTCCCAGTCCTCTGGGACCTGGCTACTTCTTTTCCTGTGGTTTCTTGCCAGAAGGTACCTTAGACCTGTGGCAAGCTTTCAGGTCTCAAAAGTCCCACTTCAGGTCAAGCCCATTTGGCTGGATATTTGCCCATGAGGAGATAGAAAATTTTTGGAGTTTTATTAGACTGTTCTTTCTTCTATCTATGCACACCAACTGTATTAAAAATCTTTCATACTAAGAGTATGTTTCCCTTGCCTTTGTGCATATGGATGGCCAGGCTCTTTTTAGAGTGTGTATCCCTTAACAGTTAGGGGTTCCTGAGTGTACCTTGGTCACTTGTTAAGACTTAGAACTAGTGTTTCCTTCTCTTATCTTATTCCTTCTGTTTGGGACAATAGTAACCCAGGTCTTACCCTCCCTTACCCTCCCCTCCAACTCACATCCATATCTAATAGGGCCTTCACTTTGGCGCTGCCCTTTCAAAAGCCTATCGATCTCAATCACAGACTCAGAACATATACAGTTCAATGTTAGGGCCACAGTTCAGCCCATTCAAGAGTTTAAATGTCCTTACCAAGGGAGAATATATTTAATGTTAAATTTTAATCTAATGTGGAATCTAAATGTTCTTTAAAAAAATCAATGCTATAGTTTAGCAGATGATAAACCTCTCACCCTACAAACCAGAACTAGACTATAAAGCTTCTTTTCCATTTCAATAAAATTCCTGGCAGCCCAGAGAAGTATTAGTTTGGTTCATTTTGTACAAAGACTAGCACAATGCCACAAACAAAAGTCAGTTAACTATAACACAATCTGAGTAGCTCCATTTTCCCTTTCAGTTTCAATCTTATAAAGATAAAGTGGGGGTTAGGGGGAGAATGTTAACAGAAGTTAAGTATGTAAGTGGTAAAATTTTAACAAGAAAACATGAAAGGAAGGGAGGGAGGGAGTTAGAGAGGGATGAAAGTCACCTCCCCACCTTTCCAGTGTCATCCAACAAAAGGTGGCATTTTTAAAGCAACAAGTTTTCTAGTACTCCACCACTCGATTAAAGGAGATTGCTACAAATTTCTGTAAACTTAAACAGAATAGAAAACAGAGCAGAGCAGTGGAATGTTCCACTTTCATTTTTTTACAAAGGTCACAATATTAAAACACTTTCCCTCAACCTAGAAAACCGAACAGATGATTTTATATATACTTTCACCTTATAAAGGGTAAACACAACTGCTTTTATAAAACAAAACTCTCAGTTCTCATGCATTTTTTTGCATTTATTTCTGACATTCTATCACAAGGACACAATTCATTTGGCCTGATAAAAATGACGTCAAGTTTCCCAACATCTCATTTTAGACAAGACTTTTTCAAGGTTTCCTCAGACTCCAACATAACCGGGCAAGTAGATGGGAGATGCCTGAGACTGAATAACCATTTGAATAGCTTCTAACATACACAGAAAAGTAGTAACATGGATAGATATATGAAAATACAAAGACTGGCTCTTCCTTTAATATCTGTTGATTGAAAGATCATCTTCATGGTAGAAACTATGAATCTCCCTTTTTAGGTAATTTCTTGAATGCAAGAACATATATATGTATGTAGATAGATACACACACACACACATTTGTTGTCAGCAGGGAAACCAATTATCAAGTTGCTTTTCAAAACCATATTTCACAGTGGCTAAGTTCTTGATAAAAATCTGCCTCTATGGCACTCCTGCAGAGAGAACAAATTCTCTGCTGCCTCAAATCTAAAATCAAAAGCCACACTACTAAGTTAGAAGTTTCTTTTTGTCACTTTTTTCCACCTAACAGCTGTTTCACTATCACCAAAAACAGGTCTGGCTTTCTATTGATGTCCAATAAATATCTGTTAACTGAATTACTGATTCACAAAGGGCTCATTCATTCGTTCAACACTAAGAAAGTGGATGGCAGAAGCCAACGACTCTCATACAATTATCCTAGTGTTGAAATATAACACTAAGTATAGTGCATACCGTGCTCAGTATTTTATTAAACCTGTATGCCAAGGGTTGTCACTGAGCAAATCCTTAAACTACACCCTTTCCCCTTGGGTTTCCTGTACTACTGTGATAGATTGTTTACAAAGATGGCAGGAACAATTCCTCCCATCCCAGTATGCACGCCTCTTTGAAATATGACCTTGTGACTTTCTATCAAGAGATAGAGTTTATTTCCCCTCTCCCCCCATCACTGCTTCAATCTGAACTTGTCTGTGTGACTTGATTTGGCGAAGCAGCAGCTTGGAAAGTATTTATGTGTTAGTATGCGCCTCCCTCTCTTTTATGATTATGGTTCTGGAAACCATGATGTGGGAGGTCACAGAGAAAACCAAGATGCCCAGAAGTATCCAATCTGTCAACCGTCAGATATATTTGTGAGCACATTCTAAACCACTGGCCCCAGTGAGGCTACTAAAGAATTGTGTGCAAATAAATGGCTGTTGTTCTAAGCCACTGATTTTAGGGGGTGGTTTGTTACACACCAATAATAACTTACACACCAGCAAAATTCAACAAGTCAATAAGAGGCTGAGCAAAACAAGCCTTATCAGTCTAAATAAGCAAATAATAAACTCTGCTCTCTCTCCATTCTACTTTATGGATGTGTTTTAGATATGAGTCCTTGATTTCCCATAGGTTTGTCCTCTATCATGATACCTGCTCTTGCTGTTTGTTTCTTCCTTGAAGAATGCATGCTCACATCACTCAGCACCCCAAGTTCTCAGGTGTGTCCACCCCGCCCCACTGCCTGTGGGACCAAGTCTCTGACATTTAGAAGAGGAAAAAGGAGGCCAAGCTCCTAGCTACACACTACATGGTTTTTATCACTCATTAATGGATTGGAACTTGAAGAGAAGGGAAGGGAGGAAAGATCTACCTTTCAATCAAAGGTCCACTCAATTAGCAAGTTTATCTTTTACTGCTCAAGGGCAGATGTTAAATCAAGAATGTATGAACATTCCTCAGTCAAAACAATCTCTATCTTCATATATCAGTTATCTGGAGCATTCTATTCAGACTTGTGAATAATCAAATAATACTGAGGAGTGTGACTACAGTGAAAACTTAAGTCTTTTCTGGAGGTCACTTATCCAGCAACATGCCGTCTGCAACCACATTTCAGAACCCAGAAAAAAGGTCCTGATAGAAAGCCCACACTGTAAGAAAGGTCAGCCAGAACCTAGCATCCTTGGCGATTTCATTCCAGTGGCCTGGGGAGGGGCCAGGTCTTCTCAGATACAGTGATACATAACCCGAGGTCAAAGGCACTGCTGTGGCCTTCACCTGACACCTCCACCCTCCATTGCTTCCCCTCTGCAGTCTGGGGTCCCTATTCCTGTCTTCTAGCTTACTTTCTGCATTAAATATTCCCATGTAATTAATTCTGAAAACATCTAAAAAAAAGTCCTTCTGGCCTCACTTACTTTGATTTTAAACACATTTCTAATAAATTTGGTATATGGTATCTCAGCACACAACAGAGACACAGTAGCAAGATCTATAAACTGGGGTAATTCTATTGCCATGGATTTCAAATGTCTGACTATGATTCAATGTGAAATAAAACCTCGTCACAACCAATATGTACACATGCATGTATTTTGACATACACATATATTCAAAATAAAATTTCACAAAACCATAAACACCTTTATTACATGCAATGCACTAATAGTCTGTCCAGCTGGTTCTAACACACTAAAGGGTTTTTATCCCCCACTACTGGATTGCAACTTGAAGTTTAAAAAATACTGCTACAGAGCAAATTTTTTGATGCAAAATTATGTTTTATTTATTTTTTAATCTATTTATTTATTTTTCTTACAATATTTACTTTCTTTTCTTAGGTGTAGTTCCCATAGAATTTCCACCACCAATTCACTCGTGCGCTATCACCACAGTCCCTTGTGCTCTTACCGCCCTCATTTTGATCCCTTTCCTTCCCCCTCCCCTACAGAATGTCTCTGATTTACAGTTGCCTGTTTATTTTTGTTTTGTTTTTTTTTTTGTTTTTTTTTTTCTTGATCCCCTATATTCCTCCTATATTTGAAACCATCCAGGATTTTTACAGAGCAATTTTTAACCTTTAATTTAGTTGTTGATGCCTTTGAATGCCAATGAATGCTATGACCAGTCTTCCCAGAAAAACACATATTGACATATCTAAGATGCACATAAAGCTTGCATACAGACCAGACAGTGTGACA